TAAACTTCATCCTGTTTACCTCAGACCATTTCTCCAATTTGTCCAGATCATTTTGAATTATGACCCTATCCTCCAGAGCAGTCGCAACCCCTCTCAGCTTGGTATCATCTGCAAACTTAATAAGCGTACTTTCTATGCCAATATCTCAATCGTTGATGAAGATATTGAACAGAGCCGGTCCCAAAACAGATCCCTGCGGAACCCCACTTGTTATACCTTTCCAGCAGGATTAAGAACCATTAATAACTACTCTCTGAGTACGGTTAATCCAGCCAGTTATGCACCCACCTTATAGTAGCCCCATCTAAGTTGTATTTGCCTAGTTTATTGATAAGAATATCATGTGAGACTGTATCAAATGCCTTACTATGGTATATGTTGTAGTTCAACACACATTTCCTTTTTGGATATCCATGTGAAGAGAATCAAGAACAGTTGTTCTTGCTTCCAAAGCAAATTGCAATGTGCTTACTCCACTCAGAATCCTATTTCACATGTCAGCATCAAGTTTGAAAGAAGATACAACTGCATTAAGGGATGTTATAAACAAGGAAGGTGGTCAATTACTTTCATTAGGCAGTAGGACAGAATAAAACATGGGTTTAAAGCAGGCAATGTGGATATTTGGGTTAAATACTAAGGGAACATTTATAATCAGGGCTTGACAACTGGTGGCGAAATCTACTTGCCAGCCCCGCATTGTGCATGCACGCACCGCCAGTGAACGGGGTGACTCGGTGAAATCTACTCGCCCTGGGCAAGTAGATTCACTGATTTGTCAAGCCCTGTTTAGAACTATAAGAATGTTCCCAGTAATGGTGAGGAAAAATTTCTGGAGTCAGCCCCTTAGGCTACAAAATACTGTTAAAGACTGGATTTGACACCCCTGATTTGTGTATTACTTTTTACCAGTAGCACTACCTGCCTGCATGCCTGATACAAATATATGGAAAGGCAGAGTCCTTACTGTAAAAGAGTTTATCATGCAAGTAAGGTGGTCAAGTTGACTGGAGGATAATTTAGGGATCATTTAGGGATGATTGACATCAGTCCTGGCACAATGTTTGAAGATTCACTAGATGACGCAGGGTTTATCTACGCAAAAAGTTACCGCACAGTAAACCAGACTGTGAATCTGCCGCGTACTGGCTTGCCATATAGTAACTCACCACATGAACAAGTCCTCACTTAGGGTATGTCTACACTACAAAGTTAATTCGAACTAACGGACGTTAGTTTGAATTAACTTTGATAGGCACTACACAAGTGCTCCGCTAGTTCGAACTTAATACAGTGTGGGTATTCCGGGCAATCCAAGCCAGGACTGCTTTGCAAGCAGGGCACCCCTGAGAACTGTCTGTCCGGGGTGGGGGTCGGGTCCCTTTAAGCACAGCCCTCGGCTAGCCTGAGGCAGCAGCTTCACGCTCTAAGTCCTCATCTGATGCCCTGCCGGCACTGCTTCCAGCCATCCTTAAGTCTGGTTCAGGGTCCACTTATTATGGACATGCTAGTTCGAATTAGCAAAATGCTAATTCGAGCTAGTTTTTTAGTCTGGATGCGTTAGTTCGAATTAGCTTAGTTCGAATTAACTAATTCGAACTAAGTTAGTTCGAATTAGCGCTGTAGTGTAGACATACCCTAAGAGACACCTCTCCACCTAAATGGTTTACACAGCTAAAGAAGCTGGACATTCTAGTAATGCAAAGGATAGTTTCTGATTCAAATAGGGTTTTTGACCCAAATCCGTAATGGTTTTTAACAAGTAGAACTTGAGAAAGTACTGTAAACTTCCGATAATCCAGCACCTTTAGGACCCAGGGGGTGCCAGATTATCAGAAGGGGGGGCTATGAGGGGTCTGGGGTGGGTTGGGGTGAGGAATGCCACTCCAGACCCCTTATAGCCCCCCCTTCCGATAGTCCGGCGCTGCCCCAGGCGTCCCCGATTCAGCTGCTGCTGGTCAGTTTCAGCAGCGGCTGAATCCGGGACCCGGCGGCCCCCCCCCTCACCCCCTTGCTCGGCAGCATCCCAGTTGCTCTGCTCTACCGCTTCCCCAAGTCCACCACTGCCGCTGCTGAAACTGATGAGCGGCGGACTTGGGGAAGTGGCAGAGCAGCTGGGGTGCTGCCGGGTTGGTCCCGCAGTGCTGCCCCCCCGAGGGGCGGCACTATGGGACCAAACTGGCAGCACTCCAGCTCCCCTCAGTTTCAGCAGCGGCTGAATCGGGGAAGCCGGGCGCAGAGCAGCTCCAATTGTCCGGCAGCCAGAGCACTTCTGCATTCCTGATGGTGCCAGACCATCAGGAGTGCCGGAGCATTGGATGCCAGACCAATGGAGTTTTACTGTATTATGAATCCTTATGTTACAAATTGAGTTTTTCATTATGGAGCTAATGTTTCTACAGATATTCAGTGTTCACTCTAATCAAAACAATCCTGGAATACAGTTAAATAGAAAGAGCTTTTAGTGGTGCTGATTCTTTATCTGTGACCCCTAAATAGCCCAGAAATTCCAGGGTTGGTCATTACTGTTTGCATTGAACAAGTTGTCATTTGTCCATCATATTTACAATCTGATAGAGATGGATTAGTAACTGAGAGCAATCCAGAATCTCAATAGAGTGGCAAGAGCTGAAACAAGCAGACCTTTCGATTTTAACTGCAGTGTGTATGTGTTTCAGTGTGATGTGTTACTAAACATATCACCCTACAATAATTTAGAAGCAATGACATTTCACCCAGCAGGTTTTAGAAAGTTAATGTTAAAGTATCAAAGCGTTAGCAGGATTTTCTGGAACTATTCAAACAGGAAGATTTCTCGTTCTTCATCTTGCTGGGGAAAACACAGAATTTTGTTGTCATAGCATCTTTGAGCATTGACTACTCCCAAGGACAAGCAATAACTACGTAATAACATTTTCTGCTTGATTTGGTGCCTGTATAGAACATATTTCACACTCTAGCAATCTGTTGAACCACAGGAGCGAGCAAAGGGAGGTGCAAAATCCCATACTATCTGTGTAAATTGATTGGATAATAGAGATCAGACATTTTTTAATTTATTATCTTAATTCAAATATATTTTGCTTTTAATAACTATGTCAAAATTGAACTAGCAGCTTCAAATTCATAGTATGTTGCCTTAAAATTAAAAAATAATTAACTCTTGTAAAACAGTTCAATTTGGGACTACAATGATAATTTATTCATAAAATACCCCCTTCCTTGCTCCTCAATAGAGCATACTCAGCACTACACAAACAATATTAAAAGCATCATCAAATATGCACCATATAGCTATACAAAATAGTAAAAAGCCAAACACAGTGGCCTCATTAAAACAAAGTTTGGAATGGATGTGCTACAGATGAGCTATTACTGCAGTGCAGAAGCCAGAGCTCTCTAACAGGTCCAAAATACAGTCATTTCCTTTCTTAAAATTATGTAAACACATATAGCAATTTGATCATCAAAGTGCATAGGATTGTCTGTGGTTTTTTTTTCATTTTTTAAAATTTGATTATACTTAAAAGGTACCCGTATACTTCTGCACCAAAATGCCTGTACAAGTTCTTCAGTCTCTCTCAGATGTGGAATCTCCCAGTGACCATTGTGTCTATTTTGTTTTATCTGTCATATTTTAATTTTCATTTATTTTCACATGAATTTGATGTCCTGATTGACCTTGGTTGATCTGCAGAACAGCTATAGCATGGGTATCAGCTATATCTGTGCTTCCACACTTCCCTCTGCCAATGTGTACCCGTACTGACCTGAAAGGAATCCCCTTTGAATTAGATCAGTGATTCTCAAATTGTTCCATGGGACCACTTCAGGAAAGCCACTAGTGGGCCTGTGCCACTTTTTTTACCTAAAGATTCCATAGCCACAGAGCTTCGCAGCTCCCATTGTCTCTGGTTCACCGTTTCCAGCCAAGCGGTGTGGTGGGAAGCACCATTATTAATATACTGAGTAGAGCTTGTCAAAAATGACTACTTTTTGCAAGGAAAAACTTAAAAAACAACAAATAGTCTGGTAGCACTTTAAAGATGAACAAAACATGTAGATGGTATCATGAGATTTCGTGGGCACAGCCCACTTTTTCAGAGGGTCATCTGAAGAATGCTCATGATAACATCTACATATTTTGTTAGTCTTTAAAGTGCTACCAGGCTATTTGTTGTTTAAGTTTTTCCTGTTACAGACTAACTCAGCTACCCCTCTGATACTTAGTGCAAGATACTTATTGCAAAATATTTTTAATTCCTGAGAGAATTTTTTAGTTTTTGAAAATGCAAGCTGAATTCTTTTACTTCTTTTTCAATTTCTGGTTTGTTAATGAAAAACTAGAAATTGCTAAAAAAAAAAATTGATTTAGTCAAAATGTCATATTTCACCAGCATATTTTAACTTTGGAAAATGGTGTCCCATCAAAATCTGATCTTTCCAAGGAATGTGTCAATTTCCATGAAATTTCATTTTGAAAAAAAAATTGAAAACATTTTGATATTTCATTTTGAAATGATTATTTCTACATTCTGTATTTTATTATAAATAAATTGTAATATATAAAATACCAAAATTGACAAAATATTTTTTTAGAAAAATCCAATGTTCATGTTTTAAGTTAAATTAATAACAAAAACATTTGAAATGTTGGCATTTCCCGTGCAGTGGACATTCCAAGTTTCAGCCAGTTCTGAAAAAGAGCTATGGAAAACTCATCATTTGGTTCATAGAGTAATATATAACTAAGGAACTAAAATGTTCATTATAGTTCGACTGATTTACATGGAAATTGGTGAAATGGTTTTGTGGGGTAAGGTATTGTAACAATCTGCAATTGAGTTATCAGTCATATGTGTTTTGATTCCCATTGCTATGAAACAGATTGATCTTCCTCTCACATTTCTTTAGCATTTTGTATTGTTGAGAATCATGAGAACTGTAATATAACTGCAGCAGCTCAATAATGCCTAATGACCTCTACTTGTTTGCACTAGTTTTCCAGATCAAGACATTCGCAGAACTGCAGTCCAACAAATGGAAAATCTGTCAGATGATGAATTGTTAGACTACCTCCCACAGCTGGTTCAGGTAAAGAAAAAATGGATAGCAAAGGAAGTTCTCTAGCCAGATCAATGACTTCATTAAATACCTTTAATTCTTTCAGTTTGATTGATGCATTAGTGGAAGAATAACCAAGAAAATCAGACCAGCTGATGCAATGATTGAGTTAACTACAGCGCTGAATTATAGATCGGGCTCCACTCCAGAGACTGTGGTTTGTTTTTTGGCATTGCTGATCGGCTTTTTGTGTGCCCTGCAAAAAGGCCTTTCCTCTGGGGAAAAAAAATAGCATCTGGAAAGAAAAGAAAAGGAGTTACGACTAGTAGCACACACGATCAAATCAATAGCTGGTAGAGGCCTAGCTTCTTGGCAAGAAAAATAGTGTTTGGCATCAGAATTTTACTTTTAGATATCTGAAAAATATGCAATTATCATTGATGTAAGGATGGGGACAAGATGCTGGCAATATGGACTGAACAGAGTAATTCACATGCAAAATAATCTTTCATTATATACTTTTCTTTCATAAATGATCCCAAAACACTTTATAAACTACAGGACAGAATGTCCCAACTGTTTTCTTAAGAGTTAGCAACCAGTGGATATTTTCTTGCGATCCAGGAAGAGATGACTAGCCCCAAAACGTTGTCCTTCCTCCATACAATCTTTCATAAATGCCTCTCCCAAAACTCCTATAGGGTCAGTGCCCTTCAGATTATGTTGGGGTGGATGCTTGTGGTAAGGCAATCAGGAGAGAAACCCAAGAAGGAGCCACTTTCAATGACATACAATAATTGTTACTTCAGGGCTGAACTATCAATTATGTAGAGTCAGACTCAGAGAAGAGGACCAGAAGAGGCAACCAGAATGAATAGTCTGAATTCATTGATAACACAGACCACCACCATCGCTCAGCAGCTGCACACCAAATCCAACAGTTAAATCAGTAGTACAGTCCACAAGAGACTAAACTATTATATGCCACAGATAAAGAATGGGAGGGACAGTAGCTGAGGCCCTTGTAATGGCTAGGAAATGATTGAGAGAAACCCAGATAATCCTGACAAGTGACCTACGTCCTATGCTGCAGAGAGAGGCCAACTTCCTTTCCCCCCCCCCCCCCCACATACACACAAACAAAAAAAATGTCTAGTCACTCCCAGTTAGATCTGGGGCGGTGGGAGGGGGGGGAGAAATCTCTTACTGACCCAAAATACAACAATCAATTAGGCCCTGAGCATATGAGCAAAAACCAGCCAGCCAAGCACCAGAGAGAGAAAATGCTTGATGCCATCGAACAGGGTATCCTACTCTGTCTGATGTCCCATGTCTAGTGGTCACCATCGCAGAAGGAGAAGGGGTGGGGATAGTGGTGGGAGATGAGGATGGTTAGAAACCTTTTAATTTCTAGTATGAATTTGTTCATTAGTTCTTCGTCAAAGTGCATCCCTGGGGGTGCTCCACATCAGGTGTTGAGCGCCCCAGAGCTTTTCGATGGATTTTTCTCAGCAATGTACCGGGGGCTGTGGATGCGCAGCACATGTGAGCCTCCCTCAGTACTATCGTGCTTGCACGGCGCCCCTCCCTTCAGTTCCTTTCTAGTGCCCCTCGGCTTCAGACCGAACTCTCCTGCTCTCGCAGAGACTTCTCCTCACAAATTTATTTCTTCAAATAGTTGCTTAGATATAGTTTATTTCCACAGTTCTTGTTAATAGTTAGCTAATTTACTTGTTTAGAGTTAGTTTGGGGGGGGAAAAAAACGCCTGCAGTCTTGAACTGCAAAAGCTGCGGGCTCTGCAAGAATTTAATGCTTGTCACTAACTGTGCTAAGCTGAAAACATGCAAAGACAGACAGCTGAGACTTAAAATGTCCTTCTCTGTCAAGGACAAACACCATCCGTCTGACCCGGTCTCGGTTCTGAGTAATACACCAGTGAGGCAAACGTCCCCTAAGCCATCAAAGGCAGGGATGAGTTCTCTGAATCAGCAGCCCAGAAAGCAGCGTGCTGAGGGGAGAAAGTCACACTGCTCAGGCAATAACCGCCTGAGCACTTTTGACCTCCCAGGCACTTTGGGTGAACACAAAAAGGGCAATAAAAATGTAAAAAAGTCTTCCCTTACTGAGGCAACAGGTCTTCCCGTGCCTGCCTCACGGGCCATAGGAGATCTTCCCACTCCTATCGCAGCATGGAGGAATCCCCTCACCTACCAACCGCTGGGTGCTGGCCCCCTTCTCCCATTACCAGGGGCAACACCTCAGAGGAGCGCTGTCTCAGCAGCAAGGGCAAAGCCCGGGCAATTTGTTTACAGTCAGCTCCGCTATCCATGCTGCATACTCCCCTCATTAGCCACAAGGACCACAAAGACCTGGTGATTTCTCTCACTTTACATTCGCATAATTTGACTGATAACATACATCCTCAATCTTCATTCTCTGATTACTCTGACTCCTCCTCCCCCCCCCTTTGAGGACAAGGAGGAATGTTTACCGGCTTTTTCACCTCAGCCATATATAGCAGGCTCTACATGGTCTGCTTATCAGCAACAACCAGATTTTCTTAGAGCACAAATGGCTCCCCGGGCTCCTTATTTTTGGATGCTACCTCCTATGTGTTGCCCCCCAACAGTGGCAAATGTTCAATCAACCACCTCAACAATATAAAAAGAGACCATATAAGACCAAGAATATGTCAAAACCCTGCTCTCCTTTAAACCTGTCACCCCACACCTCTGAGGGAAAATGACAGTGAAAGCCATTGCTCTTCAATGTCAGCTTCTACATCTATATTACATCCAAAAGCAGCCTCAGCCATAGAGCAGGCATTGTTACCACCTGCTACGCATACTACCAATGATCTCTCCTCTTTCCAAGATTAATTTAAAAGAGTTGCTATTGATTTGAATATATCTATGGAAGAAGTTCAGGTTTCTCAACATGAACTCACTAACATCCTCCAGCCCAGTACAGCAACAAAAATGGCATTTCCTATTAACCCAGCCATCTTGGAGCCCGCTAAAACCCTATGGCAAACACCTGCATCCATCCCACCAATATGCAAGAAAGCTGATTGAAAATACTCTATTCCCCCCAAGGGTTCTCAATTCCTCTTTTCTCACCCTCCAATCAACTCCCTCATAGTAGATGCTGCACAGTACAGAAACAAACAACAAAATCGTTCCACCCCATCCGAAAAGGACAATAAACATCTGGACACATTCGGAAAGAAGGTTTGTGCCTCTGCCACTCTTCAGATGAGAGTGACGAACTATGCTGCTTTATTAAGTAAATACAACTTCAATTATTATACAAAATTCAATACTTTTATTGAAGATATCCCTGGTAGCAAAAAGGCAGAGTTTCAGGCTCTTGTTTCAGAAGGCCAGATAATATCGCGAATAGCCCTGCAAGCCGCACTTGACTCAGCAGACAGAGCTACAAGGACTACGGCAACAGCAGTCACTATGAGACGAGCCTCGTGGTTCAACTCTTCTGCTTTTCCCCGCCAAGTGCAACCATTGGTAGAAGACCTTCCGTTTGATGGAGAAAAGCTATTTTCTGCAAAAACCAATGAACTGCTCCAATCGATAAAAGAGTCCAGAGCCATATTGCGATCACTCGGTATTCAAACCCCTATGACGAGACAGAGACAGTACAGGTACCAGCCATATCAGAGACCCAGGTACTTACAACTGACTTACCAGTACCAGAGACAAGACCATGCCCCGTACTAACAGAGGGGGCGCAGCAGGCATCAGAGACGGCGTCCTCAGACTAATAACCCCAACCACTCATCCCAACCCAGCAAGCAAATTTGAAACAACAGTCAAGAGATATAAAACTATACCACATGCACCAGAGCTTGAGATTGATTCCAAACCTTTCCTATTTCATTTAATACCTTTCCTTTCAAATTGGTTATCTATTACCACTGATAAGTGGGTATCTCAAACTATCTCCCTAGGTTATACCATTCCTTTTCTCTCCCCTCGCCCCCCTCCCCAACCACCTACCCCGTCCCTTTTCAGGGACCCCTCTCATGAAATTATATTACAACAAGAAATTGACCACCTTCTTGAATTAGGAGCCATAGAACCAGTACCCCAAGAGGTCCACGGAACCGGTTTCTACTCACATTATTTTCTCGTAGAGAAGAAGACAGGTTGGAGGCCAATCCTTGATCTTCGGTTACTAAATAAATACATAAGGGAACAGAAATTCAAAATGGTCACCCTAAATACTATTATCCCAGCTCTGGAGTCTGGTGACTGGTTTTCTTCTCTCGACCTGAAGGATGCTTATTTTCATGTATCTATTTGCCCCTCTCATAGTCGTTTTCTTCATTTCACTTTAGGTCTCCAACAATACCAGTATACGGTGCCCTTTGGTCTCTGCACTGCAGCAAGGGTATTCACGAAGATGCTAGCTGCTGTCGCTGCTCACCTCAGAAAACAAGGAATCATAATTTACCCGTACTTAGGTGACTGCCTTATCAAAGCGAGGACCAGTCAAGACTGTTATCAAGATACCATAATTGTAATAATCTGCCTTCAATCATTAGGCTTCCTAATAAATGATGGCAAATCAACATGCACGTCAACCCATACAATCCAATTCATTGGCGCTCAGCTCAGTTCAATCACAGCCAGAGCCTCTCTACCAACAGACAGATCCACTTGCATCAGTAAACTGGCAAAAGCGCTTCAAGGGATGCCAGTAGTAAGGATTTATGACTGCCTTCAACTATTAGGTCACATGGCATCATGCAATCCTGTGGTCTCAAATGCACGTCTTTTTATGAGATGCCTCCAAGGTTGGCTCTGACACATGTACAAGCCATACATCCATCATATGAACAAAATGCTCACGCTACCACACCAAATGAAAGCATCCCTACACTGGTTGACAAAATCAAGCAACCTATGCATAGGCATCCCCTTTCGACCCCTGAACCCCTCTGTAGTTGTCACTACAGATGCATCCCTTACATGCTAGGGTGCCCATACAGAAGGCCACACAGCACATGGCC